GGTTAACATCGGTTCATTATTTCACCTAGCCCCCATACAACTGAACACCTGAATAGGGCTTGTAAACTTTTTAAACAAACTACAGGTCACAATTTTGAATATAATTCAATGAAATTTGGCAGTTGATCTTCTATGGTACCGGAGACGAAGCCTATTGAAAATTGTTAACATCGGTCCATTTTCTCACATAGCCCCCATACAACTGAACCCCCGAATAGGGCTTGTAAACCTTTTAATCAAACTACAGGTCGCAATTTTTAAGATAATTCAATGAAATTTGGCAGATGATCTTCTATGGTACCGGAGACGAAGCCTATTGAAAATGGTTAACATCGGTCCATTATTTCACCTAGCCCCCATACAACTGAACCCGACGAATAGGGATTTTAAGTTTGTAATTATGTTTAATATACTCGTATCTCGACAAAAAGCTGCAAAACCAAGTTCTATAATAGCCTTGATGACTCTCGTGAATTTTATAATTAAAGGGTATCATTTGACCATAGCTCCTATACAAATCCCCCTTCAAAATTTGACTTAAATGTCCACAATTATATTCAGCAATAAATGGCTTAAGTATAATTCAAGGCAAGGAGAAATTCAACTTAAATGCTCTATTATGAAAACTAAATCACATTTTAATTTTGTAACAGGTGTAGGGTATTATATGGTCGGCCTCGCCCGACTATAATTTCTTACTTGTTTTTTATTGCCAAGTAATATGTCTTAAAAATACTCACCATATAAAGCTTTGAGTACATTTCCGTATTTATTATTAAATTAAATATATTTTGATAACACTTTTAATTTCACTTTTAAACACTTTAAAACACTCTTACTTATGCAACTGTTCGCACTCAAATGAGTTTTTACTTTTCTATTTTGCCCTTTTTCAAATGGCAGTTATTTTACCGTTATTTTAATTTTTTTTTTTTTTGCAATCACACTGCATAGAAACATTGACTCTCATCAAATAGAATTAAATAGGGGACAACTTGCAAGACAATGTCGCTCATCTTGCCGTCAGTATAGTCCAATATAAGACAACATCCAAGACATTGTCGCTTATATCATCATCGTGTGTATTTGTTAGAAGAAAATATTTAAGATTAGTCGCTCATACTGTCGTCAATAGAGTTATTTAAAAGACATCGTTGAAGACATATTATCTTAAACTGTCAGTAATATAATTAATAGAGAGAAGTATATACGAGTTTATTCTCTCAATAGCTTATATAGATGACGATTTTAAAGACATTGTCTTCTAAATGTTTAATATTAAATAAAATTAATAACATTTTTCAAACGTTTGATTTTGTGTTTGTTGGGTTATTTCAAATATGGGAAATATACTAATACTACCATAAGTTTTTCTACTACTACATTCAATCGACTTAGGTTTTTGACAACAGACTTAGGTCCTTGACAGCACAGTTTCCGCTCTATATACTATATGGATGAAAGCACGAAATTCAGTCAGAAACTCCATAATATTCAATTTAACATATATTTTTTTCAAAAAAAAAACTGACTATAAAAAATAAGGATATTAAAGGATAAAAAAGGATATAAAAGGACATTTTTTCTGTTTTTTATTCTGACATTTTAAAATTATTTCATTCGTAAGAATACTGTTATTCTCCTCTTTCATTCGATACCCATATTGACCTACTAGACCAAACCAAATTTTAGCTAAATAGAATTTTACTCACTCTTCCTTCAAACTCCTTTTAAAGGAAGAAACGATCAGAAAATAAACAAGTAAGAAATTATAGTCGGGCGAGGCCGAATAATGGACCGATGTTAACCATTTTCAATAGGCTTTGTCTCCGGTACCATAGAAGATCATATGTCAAATTTCATTGAATTATCATCAAAATTGCGACCTGTAGTTTGATTACAACGTTTACAAGCCCTATTCAGGGGTTCAGTTGTATGGGGGCTAGGTGAAATAATGAACCGATGTTAACCATTTTCAATAGGATTTATCTCCGGTACTATAGAAAATCATGTGCCAAATTTTATTGAATTATCATCAAAATTGCGACCTGTAGTTTGATTACAAGGTTTACAAGCCCTATTCAGGGGTTCAGTTGTATGGGGGCTAGGTGAAATAATGGACCGATCTTAACCAGTTTCAATAGGCTTCGTCCCTGGGAGAATAGAAGATCATGTACCATTGAATTATCTTCAAAATTGCGACCTGTAGTTTGATTACAAGGTTTACATGGACGGACAGACGGACGGACGGACAGACGGACGGACATAGCTAAATCGACTCAGAAAATGATTCTTAGCCGATTGGTATACTTTAAGGTGGGTATAGGACCAATATTTTTGTGCGTTACAAACATCAGCACAAACCCAATATACCCTCCCCACTAAAGTGGTGTAGGGTATAAAAACCAAAAATGTAGTACAACTATATATAGTTGGGCTTGTCTTTAAGACATCCTCAACGATGGGTACACGACAATGTAAAGTCCTGGAAGACAAATGTAGGACAGCCGGAACAAATCGTCAACGACATTTTCGAACAAGTGTCGCGAAAATCGTTGACGACTAGATGAGAGACAATGTCGCTCAGTTTGTCCTTCACCCAAAAATATAGATTAATTCCACCATTTTATCATCAACGACTATATAAGCCACAATATCATCCACTTTGTCGTGAACGATTATATGGGCGACAAGATCATCCACTTTGTCGTCAACGATTATATGGGCTTTGTCGTTAACGACTAAATAAGCGACAATATCGTCCACTTTGTTGTCAACGATTATATGGGCGAAAATGTCCTCAGCTTTGTAATTAACGACTATATTGATGATAGTATCATTCACTTTGACGTCAACGATTACATGAGTGACAATGTCCTAAGCTTTGTCGTTCACTTTATTTTTTAAAAGAAAATGTTTTAAGTTGAATAAAAATATTTTAAAATATCACATTTAATTCAAAAACAATATTTATTTCATTTGAATACATTTTTAAAAACATATTAATTGTTATAAAAAGGGTTATTGAGAATTATTTGAATTTGAATTTTCTTTATTGTATTGTCTAGCTTTTTCCTTATTGTAAGTATTCTTGATTCTACGAAAGATACCTCTTAAATCTTTTATAAATTCCTCGTAGGTATATCCCTCTTTTTTTGCGGATTCTGTTTAAAAAATATGAATTTTAAAAAGTTATAGATATGTTTTTTTATTGCCAAGTAATATGTCTTAAAAATACTCACCATATAAAGCTTTGAGTACATTTCCGTATTTATTATTAAATTAAATATATTTTGATAACACTTTTAATTTCACTTTTAAACACTTTAAAACACTCTTACTTATGCAACTGTTCGCACTCAAATGAGTTTTTACTTTTCTATTTTGCCCTTTTTTCAAATGGCAGTTATTTTACCGTTATTTAAATTTTTTTTTTTGCAATCACACTGCATAGAAACATTGACTCTCATCAAATAGAATTAAATAGGGGACAACTTGCAAGACAATGTCGCTCATCTTGCCGTCAGTATAGTCCAATATAAGACAACATCCAAGACATTGTCGCTTATATCATCATCGTGCGTATTTGTTAGAAGAAAATATTTAAGATTAGTCGCTCATACTGTCGTCAATAGAGTTATTTAAAAGACATCGTTGAAGACATATTATCTTAAACTGTCAGTAATATAATTAATAGAGAGAAGTATATACGAGTTTATTCTCTCAATAGCTTATATAGATGACGATTTTAAAGACATTGTCTTCTATGGTGTCTTCATAAAAAAAGCCCAGAAGACAACGCTTAAAAATTTATCGATCATATAGTCGTCAACAGAGTAAGTTACATGACAATATTCTAGACCTTGTCGCCCATCTTTTCATTATTTCTGTTTGATACAGGACTATTTTGAAGGCGTTGTCTTACTTCATGTCTTTGACATCGTTTATAGAAGAATATATTAAAGACACAGTCGCTCATCTCGTCTTTAATAGGATTTAAAAGACGACAACGAACAGGTCTTTGTCGTTAATCTTGTCGTTAACGAAGATTTCTTACACATTGTCGTTTAGCCAACTTCAGCGATAGGGGACAAATTCGAAAATGTCTTGCATGAATCGTCGAAGACAATGTCGTCTACCATCATTTTTCCAACTGGGTAAATTCCCTGCAAACAATTGCTATCTAAATAGTATCCATAACGTAACAACGTGTAGGTAAAAATATCTAAAAAACATCTAATATTGCACAATTTGAAAGAAAGAAAAGTGACCGCGTTGGTAAGAAACTGTTCCTCCTGTTTAATACTTACTTAGTGAGTCGATTTCGTTTCAGTTTTAAGTCACTTTTTTATAGCATAAAAGTGCGTAAAATTAGTAAAATTTTCAGTTTAGCAATAGCAATAGTGAAACTGGAAATTTATCTAATTTTACGCTATTTTATGTAGTAAAAGCGACTTTATAATACATTTTCTTTATTTTTCTTACTTTATGAATAATTTAAAATTGTTTATACTCACTAATCTCTCACTTATGTTTATTATATATTAAATTTATTTTTTATATATTAAATTTTAAATAAAATCATTACAAAATTTCACAATGTGTTACTACCCTGCCAGCAAATTTGAGTTTGATTTTGGATAAATGAACTAAATTTACACTATTTAGGCTCAACTTCATGTTTCTCAGTGATGAATAAAAATATTTACAAAAACAAAATACATTATTTTCTAATTTTTATCCCATTTTTTTTAAAATTTAAGTTCGATCTAATATACCTGTTTGTGTCTGTCTAGTGTAACACATAGTTTATATTTTCTCTATGTGTAAAATCGCTAGAACAATATGCATTGTATGGCAACTCCCCACTTTAGTGTGGTGAGTTTGCGTTGCTCTTTATGTCAAAGGGCTTGACACATTTTTTTTATTCTCATTGCTTTTCAACCACTGGACAGACAACAAATGCAAAATTAATAAAAGAAATTGAAATAAAATAAAAGTTTAAGAATTAAAATAAAATTAAAGTTTAATTAAATAAAAACAAAAGGAAAAGTGAACTTAAATAAAATAAACAGAAATACAAACCAAAAGAAGTAAACAAAGCTTTTTAATAAAATAAAAATAAGGGTTGTTTTTTGGCAACACAACAACAAGTGTTTGTGTGTATATAAAAACACATTTGGCCCTGACCTGCCGCATCAAGAGAAAACCAAGTGGACGGCTGCCGGAGACAGTTTGCCAACAACCAGCACCAAGGAACCAGCTCAGCAACTAAGAGGTAACAACCGGGATTCCCGATTTGGCCCCAAACATTGGTCCTTCGCCCGTAGAAAAAAAAGGTGCGTAAATTGAAATTATTAAAGTGCAAAGTGTTTCATATGCATATATTGTGGTTCATTATTTGTGGCTCGGAAAAAGTGAGGTTGTGTAACTTTTTGAAATTACATCGTGAACTTTTACATTAAGCCGCCATTTTTCCTTACGGTCATTTGTATTTGTTGTTTTATTTTTGGAACCTAAATAAATTTGTCGTCCACCTTTTTTCTCAAGTTTTTAAACTTATTGGAAATTGTGATTTTGGCGCATTTTAACTTAGTGGTTCTCTTTAACTCTTTTATTGGAAAATAAAGTTTTGTGGTTCTCTTTAACTTTGTATGGTGTTAAAAAACTTCAGTTTCTCTTTTCAATTCTTGATTTTATTTAAAGAAGTTTGTGACTCTGTGATTTGTTTTAAATTTTGGGAAAATATATTTTTGTGGTTCTCTTAAATAAATTAAAATATGTCGATTTTTGAAAAATACATAGTGGCTGCGGATGAATTAATCAGCTTTGAGGTTATGCTTAAAGCTGAAGATTTTTCTAGTTACACGGACGATGCTTTTGATTTTGAAAGATCAGAATTAGATAAATCATGGGAAAATTATAAAAGCATTTATAGTGATTGTTCTGATGTCACAATAGAAAAAAAGAAAGAATTGTTAATGGTACAAACAAAGCATTAGCAGGTCCGCAAGACATATATAAGATGTATTAACATTATTTCCAAAGCAAAAGCAAACTTAGGTAAAAAAACTGAAGAAAATGTAGAATCAGCAGTTCCCAATCTTTGTGGTTCCATATCCGTACCTCCTTGTGATACTGGTGTTTTTCATGGGGATTACGTTTCGTGGCCCACATTTAGGGATATGTTTACTGCGATTTACATAAACAATACAAGACTTAGCCCTGTAGAAAAAATATTTTACTTGTTTAGAAAAACTGATGGTGAGGCAAGGGATATAAATAGAAATGTTGCCCTGACAGCAGAAAATTTTGAGATAGCTTGGAATAATTTGAAAATTCAGTATGAAAATAAACGGGTTTTGATTAATAGTCAATTGAAGTTGCTCTTTAATTTAGCTCCTTGTCAACAAGAATCGGCTAGTGAAATTAAAAGACTTCAAAGGGAGATCAATAATTGTATGGCTATCCTTAAGTTATACAATGTAGATATTAATTCATGGGACCCTATTTTTGTATTCCAATGCTCATCCCGTCTCTCAGAATGTTCACTTAATCTGTGGGAACAATCGGTCAAGAACAAAACAGAGGTTCCCAAATGGGAAGAATTAAATAATTTTCTCACCGATAGATTTCATGCCCTTGAAAGTGTATCAGATATCATAGCTATAAACAATTCAAATCCCAGTGGTTCCCAATCGGCACTTAATAGTAACAATAACCATACATCAACTAAAGTAAAACAATTTAAGGCCCATAATACTAAAGTTGAAACCATTTTTTGCAAATTATGCAAAGAAAACCATAAAATCAGCTCCTGTACCAGATTTTTGAATATGGATTATAGAAATCGTGTTTCAACTTTGAAAAAGTTTCGTTATTGTTTTAATTGCCTCAACATTGGACATATGTATGGTGATTGTAGTAGCACAAACGGTTGCTCCAAGTGCAAAAGGAAGCACCATACTTTAATGCATAGGGATTTTGTAAATAAAAACAATAATAGCCAAAATCAAGGAAATACTAGATTTCAGGGCGAAAGTCAAAATAGTTCTGTCCAACAAATACAGTCCACAAATACAAATCAATTACAGTCCACTAATATCGCAGGTCCGTCTGGTATTGTTCAGTCACATCACACATCAGTAGCTAAGAAAGTGATGTTGGCTACAGCTTGGGTCAATATAATTAGTTGTGGTTCCTATTACAAAGTTCGAGCACTCATAGATCCTTGTTCGGATGAAAGTTTTGTTTCTCAGAGAATACAAACTGTATTGAAGTTGCCCACTAAGCCAGTTTCCGCAGAAATTACTGGTTTAGGAGGAGAATTAGTAAGCAAATCTTCAAAGATTGCGAACTTTATAATTGTTTCTCTGTTTGATCAAAATGTATCTCTAAATATTCAGGCTTTAGTAGTTCCTCGTGTAACAGGAAATGTACCTACACATACATTTAAGCCTCCAAAGAATATAGATTTGCCCAATCTGAATTATGCTGACCCCAAGTTTTATGAAAGCAGTGAAATAGACTTATTGTTAGGAGGTGATTTGTATCCCCTAATTCTTCGTGATGGAGTTCAACATGGAATTTTCGAATCTTTAGTGGCCCAAGAGACAATTTTTGGCTGGATTGTCACAGGCCCAACTCCAAGTAATGATTCCTCACGTTTTTCAATAACCAATTATATGACAAAAGTTTCCATTGACGATCAGTTAACAAAGTTTTGGGAGTTAGAAGAAGTTTCTCGTAGAAAGATTTTATCAGAAGAGGATAAAAAATGTGAAGAGATCTATCTTTCTACTACCACAAGAAATTCTGAAGGAAGATATATAGTTTGTTTGCCCTTTAAAGATACTTTTTCGTCACTTGGCCCAAATCGTCATATTGCTCTCAGTCAATATTTAAGAAATGAAAAGGTTTTAATGCGAAATCCTGAATTTAAGGCTCAATATGATGAGGTTTTAAAAGAATACATAGCTTTGGGACACATGGAGAAAATTGAAAATTCAGAAAGTAGTCCGAGTTATTATTTACCTCACCATGGAGTTTTTAAGCCTGACAGTACCACCACAAAGTTAAGAATTGTTTTTAATGCTTCAAGCTCGTCTTCTAATGGTAACAGTCTTAACGATTTGCTGTTTGTAGGCCCTATATTGCAAGCTGATTTAGTAGCCCTAATTCTAAAATGGCGATTCTTTCAGTTTGTCTTTAATGCAGATATATCCAAAATGTATCGACAAATTTTATTAAAATCTGAACATAGACAGTATCAGAAGATAGTTTTTCGTAGTCCTAGTGAAACCCAAATCGAAGATTATCAGTTGAACACCGTCACCTTTGGCGTTAATTGTGCCCCCTTTTTGGCCCTTAGGACGCTTTTACAGTTAGCTGACGATGAAGAACGATGTTTTCCGCTAGGCTCAAGAATTCTTCGTGAGTCAATGTATGTTGATGATGCTCTTGTTGGAGCTCATTCGATCTCTGATGCTTTGGAGGCACGAGACCAATTAATTGGTATATTGGGTACAGCTGGGTTTGAGTTGAGAAAATGGGCCTCAAACTCTAAACAAATTTTAAAAAATTTGCCCCAAGAGCATCTTCTTAACTCTTCTTTTTTGTCACTCGATGATAAAAGTAATGCTAAAACACTCGGTGTCCGTTGGAATGCGGCAGAAGATTACTTTTATTTTACAACTGAGAAGTTTAAGTTCAAAACAGTTTATACAAAGAGGGAAGTACTCTCAATTATAGCAAGGCTATTTGATCCAGCAGGTTGGTTGGCCCCAGTGATTATAACAGCAAAGATTTTGATGCAGCAAATGTGGCTCGACAAAATAGACTGGGACGAACATATAAAACTTGTGGCTCTACAAAAATGGAAGACATTCATTTCTAATTATAATGAGATTGATACAATTAAACTTGATCGTTGGGTTCAATATACGCCAAGTTCTTATATTGAATTTCATGGCTTTTGTGACTCTTCTGAGTTAGCTTACGCAGCTACACTTGTGAATGGTGATAAAGTTTATGTGAATCTACTAATTGGCAAAACAAAAGTGGCTCCAGTTAAAAGGCCATCTTTGCCGCGTTTAGAGTTGTGTGGCGCAGTTCTTTTAGCCAATTTAGTAAACAGCGTAATCCCCAATTTCAAATTGCATACGTATAACTTATATTTGTGGTCCGATTCGACAATAGTTCTTGCTTGGTTACGAAAACCGCCATGTAATTGGAAAACCTTTGTGGCAAATAGGGTAGCAACAATATTAGAAAAAGTAGGAAACAAAAATTGGTTTCACGTAGCTTCTAATCACAGTCCTGCCGATCTAGCAACCCGGGCTGATACCTTCGGATTTAAGAGAAAACAAACTTTGGTGGCATGGTCCTGATTGGCTCAGATTAAACAAATCGTCGTGGCCCGAAGGTCCATTAGAATTCGAAACAGTAGAAGAATCGAAACAAGTGCAAGTTAATATTGCTAGATCCGCTGAACGAGAAGATATACTGGACCGTTTCTCAAGTTTGCCCAGAGCATATCATATTATTGCTTATATATTTAGATTTTTTAATCTTGCGAGCAAAAGCAGACGTAAAAGCTGTAATTACGAAACTGTTAGAATTTCCGCTCAAGAACTTGTATTTGTACGAAATCGGCTATTTTTTCTCTCTCAACAGTCGCACTTTTCTAATGAGTTTAGTTGTCTGTCATCGAAAAAGAAAATTGACTCTCGTAGTCCTTTATTAACGCTTACGCCTTTCTTAGACAAAAATGGTATTATTCGTGCTAATGGTCGTCTTGGCTCTACAAAATGTTTGTCATACAATGAACGACATCCCATAATACTTGCATATACTAGTAGATTAGCACGACTTTACGTTGAGTTTGTCCACAATATGGTCTTACATGGAGGCCCTCGTTTAGTCCTAAATGTCGTACGTCAGGAGTGTTGGATTATAAAGGCTAAAAATCTAATAAAAACGGTCATCCACAACTGTAAAATCTGCGTTATACATAGAAAAAAGCTTCAAAATCAGATCATGGCAGTGCTACCTGAAGAAAGAACTACTTTAAGTCGCCCTTTTACTAACACAGGTGTTGATTTTGCCGGCCCATTTGAAATCAAAAGTTTCACTGGTCGATATTGCCGTATCACTAAAGGCTACATGTGTCTATTTGTTTGTTTCTCTACTAAGGCGATTCACATTGAGGCCGTTAGCGATTTGTCCACTCCTGCATTTCTAGTAGCTTTGGCTCGATTTGTTGCTCGTCGTGGTTGCCCTAGTCGCATTTTCTCTGATAATGGAAGGAATTTTGTTGGCGCTGCAAGAGAACTTGAAAATAACTTCAAAAAACATATAGAAGAATTACGTGATTCGGCAGTAGAAAAATATGGTCATCAACATCTTGAGTGGCACTTTATTCCTGCAGCAGCTCCTCATATGGGAGGACTGTGGGAGGCAGGAGTAAAAAGTTTGAAAATGCACTTTAAAAAGTCAGCTGGACAAATGAAATATACGTTTGAAGAGTTTTCGACACTTTTGACAAAGATAGAATCGTGTCTCAATTCGCGTCCTCTTGGCCCTACGTCCGACAGCATCGATGATTTGTCCGCTCTTACTCCTGGTCATTTTTTAATAGGCTCTGCTATTCTTACTCCTGCTGAACCTGAAGAGCTTAGCTCGCCAATTAGTATAGTAAACCGTTGGCGAAAAATCAAAGCATTGCAGCAAGAAATTTGTCACCGCTGGAAAGACGAATATTTAAAAGAGTTGCACAAGCGTAATAAATGGAAAAGTCCCCAAATAGACTTAAAAGAAAATGACCTCGTTGTTCTTAAAAGTGAACCTTGTTGTCCAACTGAATGGCGCTTAGGTCGTGTTGTAAAAGTTTATCATGGTTCTGACGGTAAAGTTCGAGTGGCTGACCTTAAAACTCAAAATGGCGTAATCACTCGACCGATACACAAATTAGTTTTACTCCCTAATTGCACTGATTAATAATTCAATATCACCTTTTCTAAAATAAAGTTGCTCATTTAAACTTCTAGATTAAAAAAAAAAATGGACTTCAACACCGATTATGGTTGCCCGCTTTGTAATCGCCTTCACGCCATACGACAGTGTTCACGTTTTATTGTGATGCCCGTGGAGCTAAAGCTTCGAGTTGTTGCCCAAAACTTGTTATGTTATAACTGCCTGGCTCAGTCGCACAGCCGAGCGAATTGTAGAAGTATAGATCGGTGCCGTCGCTGTATGCAGGACCATAATACTTGGTTGCACCCTTTGCCACAGGGCCGTATTTGGTTTCCCATGACAGCGTTGATACGGGTAGTCACCAATCATGATACTGACGTCTTCATTAGAGCATTAATAGAACCAACAGCGGCCAGGTCAGCAATCATGAAACGTGAAGTCGAAGAATTGGGCTTACGGATTTCTAAAGGACGTACTGACATCGTTGTATACCATCGTCGCGAGGAGAAACGTCGCATAACGGTTGAATGTATTTTAGAAGACAAGATTTACGGCCGTAGCCCTATTGTTAATGTGGAGCGAGCAGACAAATATCCACGTCCAACAACTGTAGACCGTGCCAATGCGGACGTACACTGGCATATTAGTTGCCCTTACCAGCTTATCCTAGGAGCTGATACTATGAGCAGAATTCTGATTGGACCAGCTATGAGTCGCCCAGGACAACTATATGCCCAGAATACCATATTCGGCATAGCATATTTTGGAGAAGGTGTCAAAAGAACCTGAAGTATATTATTTATGCTATAATTTGTTGCCCTCAAAAGGCTTTAAAGTATTATTTACATTTTGTTTGATATGTACTCTTTAACGTTTATTAAACTTAAAAACATTTGAATGTACTATTATTTTTTATATACTTGAATTGTTCTCATATGTTAATTATATTTGTTAACTTTTGTTATTCCTTTTTTATAATTAACAATAATGAACTTAAAATGTTAATTTGTTGCTCTAGATAAGATAATTGAATTTGTTATATTACTTATATCTAATTTTGTATTTGATTTTATATTTTGCACTACCGTTGCAAGGTGGGCGGTATGTTTGTGTCTGTCTAGTGTAACACATAGTTTATATTTTCTCTATGTGTAAAATCGCTAGAACAATATGCATTGTATGGCAACTCCCCACTTTAGTGTGGTGAGTTTGTGTTGCTCTTTATGTCAAAGGGCTTGACACATTTTTTTTTTATTCTCATTGCTTTTCAACCACTGGACAGACAACAAATGCAAAATTAATAAAAGAAATTGAAATAAAATAAAAGTTTAAGAATTAAAATAAAATTAAAGTTTAATTAAATAAAAACAAAAGGAAAAGTGAACTTAAATAAAATAAACAGAAATACAAACCAAAAGAAGTAAACAAAGCTTTTTAATAAAATAAAAATAAGGGTTGTTTTTTGGCAACACAACAACAAGTGTTTGTGTGTATATAAAAACACATTTGGCCCTGACCTGCCGCATCAAGAGAAAACCAAGTGGACGGCTGCCGGAGACAGTTTGCCAACAACCAGCACCTAGGAACCAGCTCAGCAACTAAGAGGTAACAACCGGGATTCCCGATTTGGCCCCAAACAATACCAAAAAGAAACGTAAATGATAATAATTAGATAGAATAAAAATGTATAAAAAGAACACTTTTAAATACACTAACAAGATAATTTAAGGCAGAATTATTTTTGCTCTCAAAATTTAAAAGAAAAAGTGTTTGTATATTTCAGTAAATATATTAAGTTTAGTTTATAGTGATCAGTTGTGTGAATAGTAACACATTGAGAAATTTTGTAATGATTTTATTTAAAATTTAATATATAAAAAATAAATTTAATATATAATAAACATAAGTGAGAGATTAGTGAGTATAAACAATTTTAAATTATTCATAAAGTAAGAGAAATAAAGAAAATGTATTATAAAGTCGCTTTTAGTACATAAAATAGTGTAAAATTAGATAAATTTCCAGTTTCCCTATTGCTATGGCAAAACTGGAAATTTTACTAATTTTACGCACTTTTATGCTATGAAAACGTGACTTAAAACTGAAACGAAATCGACTCACTAAGTAAGTATTAAACAGGAGGAACAGTTTCTTACCAACGCGGTCACTTTTCTTCCTTTCAAATTGTGCAATATTAGATGTTTTTTAGATATTTTTACCTACACGTTGTTACGTTATGGATACTATTTAGATAGCAATTGTTTGCAGGGTATTCACACAACTGATCACTATAAACTAAACTTAATATATTTACTGAAATATACAAACACTTTTTCTTTTAAATTTTGAGAGCAAAAATAATTCTGCCTTAAATTATCTTGTCAGTGTTTTAAAAAAGGTTTCTTTTTATACATTTTTATTCTATCTAATTATTATCATTTACGTTTCTTTTTGGTATATTAGATCGAACTTAAATTTAAAAAAAATGGGATAAAAATTAGAAAATAATGTATTTTGTTTTTGTAAATATTTTTATTTATCACTGAGAAACATGAAGTTGAGCCTAAATAGTGTAAATTTTAGTTCATTTATCCAAAATTAAACTCAAATTTGCTGGCAGGGTGTGTATTAGTAACAAAAATGTACGTGTATTTGAGCATTTAAAATTTTCACCAGACATACATCATATAATTTTATTTCTTTGAATTTTCAATACAAAAAATGTAACTCTGCTTGTAAATTAAAATTCTACCACAACAAAAAATAAATGTCAATAATAAATAAAATTTTCGGTTTGCTCAAAATAAACGGAATTTTAAAGAAAAAATTTGCTAAAAGTATTTTAAAAAAAATTTACCATATCTTTTTGGCGTAAAACCCGCTATTAATTCGAATATGTAAGCAGAAATTTTAAGCATTTTGACACAATAATATTTCTCACCAGTTGAATTCACACAGGACCCGTAAATGTGAAGGTGTAATTTCGTGTACGTGAGAGTCGGACTACTTGTTATCAGAGACTGAAAAAAACTGGGCCACATAACCAAAGTGATTGAATTGTGATTTATTTTTGTTTTTTAAAATAAATCACTCAGGTTTTGTTTTGTTACTTATGTTTTTGCCTGAGCACTTGGTTTTTGTATTCCTTTGAGAGTGGGAGACTATATTGTTGTTGTTTGCTATGATTTCTGAAGAAAGTATGTGTGTCGTAATAGTGTATTTACATTTGCGATTTATTGTTTTGCTTTTATAAATAAAAATCATAAGCAGACCTTTTCAAAAATGTTTACAAAATAAAAATCAATTGTAGCGAGTTATTTTGTTTTTCTTTTCGGTTTCTCTCAACCACTTAAAAAAAATCTAACATAAAGGTTTCTCAGTGATAAACTGCAAAAACACAATTATAAATGGTGATCACAGCAATTAACCTTATAAAAACAAAAGTGGACCCGTTATTTTCAGTCTCTGCTTGTTATACATACTTTGTTTAAAACATTATTGACAATAGAAATTTTTACCGTTAAAAATAACCTGATTAAGAAAATGGTGGTTAGTGTATTTTATTCTCTCCTGTTCTGTATTTCTGTTCTGTAATGCTTTAAATTTTGTATATATTTTAGAGTTTAGACATCATAATATATTTAAAAACCATATAAAACAATGATTGTAACCGAAATTTTACTTAAAGAGGTTAATTAATACTAAATAAAGTACAACAAGTAAGAGTGTTATATTCCTCTATGCCGAATCTTTTATACCCACCATCAAATCACTGCCATATAAATGAACTTTGATACATATTTTGAATATTTTATTATTATAAATCGATATTATGCTATGTTTCCATTGGCATCAAATCTACCAGGTTTGCGTAAACCTCTTCGAGGTGTTTCCACTGAGCTAACTCGTTTTTGAGATTCGAATTTTCAAACAAATCCTGTCATATAAGGAAAATAAAATTATTTTTTTTTTAAATTTAGACATTAAAAATACAAACTTACTGTTTTAATTGTATAAATTTATTTATTAAATGCCAACAATTTTAAAATTATTATTTGTTCTTTTTATACCCTACACCACTTTAGTGGGGAGGGTATATTGGATTTGTGCTGATGTTTGTAACATATAAAAATATTCGTCCTAGACCCACCTTAAAGTATACCAATCGGCTTAGAATCGTTTTCTGAGTCGATTAAGCTATGTCCGTCCGTCCGTCCGTCCGTCTGGCTGGCTGGCTGGCTGGCTGGCTGTCCATGTAAACCTTGTGCGCAAGCTACAGGTCGCAATTTTCAAGATAATTGGATGAAATTTGGCACGCACGTTTTATTTGACCCAAGGACGAAGCCTATTGAAAATGGTTAAAATCGGTCCATTATTTCACCTAGCCCCCATAGAACAGAACCCCCCGAAAAGGGCTTCTGAGCTCATAATTATGTTAAATATACAGATATATCGATAAAATACGGCATAACTAAGTTTTATAGAAGTCTTGATAACCCTGCCAAATTTCATAAAGATCGGGCCCCATTTGACCCTAGCTCCCATACAAAGTCCCCTTCAGAAAATTACTTGAATGTCCCAAATTAACTTATAAACACAAATATCGCGATGAAATTCAGCACAATAAAATATTATGTAAATATAAATATATTCAGAAAATTTTATCGGGCTTGGTCCATATTTGCCCCTAGCCCCCATATAAAGCCTCTTTCAGAAAATTAGTTTTTCATCCATAAATTGCTTAAATGTATCGGAACAAGGGAATATTGAAGATAAATGCGATATTATGAAAAATAAATCACATTTAATATTCATAACTGGTGTAGGGTATCATATGGTCGGCCATGCCCGACTATACTTTCTTACTTGTTTTATTTTGAAATAATATGTCACTTTTTCGATGAAAACATTCTATTTGAATGGATAGCCTATAGTCGTATTTGCTTATCCTAGACACAACGCAGTGTTGCATGTTCGAAAAAATACATTTTCGACATGTTTTAAATCAAATCTAGTAGATTAAGTAGATTTGGATTTGTCAAAACTGTATGGCAAATCTACATGATTTCAACTAGTTTTGACCAAATCCACTAGATTTGCTTAAAACGCCTCAGTGGAAACATAGCATTAATGAGAACATCAGGATAATATTCGAAAAAGGACCATTAATGGTGGTTTAACTAGGGTCAATTATAGACCGATCCACATACAATTTGGTGGAAAGATTTTAGCTCATATATAACTTACTTATGTCAAATTTCTTCGCTATATTCGTATTTTTACGCCAATAATTAACGTTAAAGTCATTTTCTGAAGGGGACCTTACATGGGGGGTAGGGTCAATTATGGACCGATCCACATAAAATTTTGTGGAAAGGTTTTGGCTCTTAAGATACTTACTTATGTCAATTTTCATCGCTACACTAGTATTGTTAAGCCAGTAATGAGCACTAACGTCATTTTCTGTAGGCGACCTTATATAGGGGGTAGGGTCAATTATGGACCGATCCACATAAAATTTTATAGAGAGGTTTTGGCTAGTAAGACACTTTCTTATGTCAAATTTCATCGCTATACTCTAATTTTTAAGCGAGTAGTGAGCGTTAAAGTCATTTTCTGAAGGGAACCTTATATGCGGGGTAGGGATAATTATGGACCGATCCACATAGAATTGGGTGGAGAGATATTGGCTTGCTTGAAACTTATGTGTGTCGAATTTCATCGCTATATTCGTATTTTTAAGTCACTAATCAGCATTATAGTCATTTTCTAAAGGGGAGCTTATATGGGGGTAGGTCCAATTATGGTCCTATGTCCGCTTCATAAACAACGAATTTGTGAATGTTTGA